TTCTTTCTTTCTTTCTTTCTTTCTTTCTTTCTTTCTTTCTTTCTTTCTTTCTCTCTCTCTCTCTCTCTCTCTCTCTCTCTCTCTCTCTGTCTGTCTCTCTCTCTCTCTCTTTATTTTCTTTCTTAAATCCAAGACCTTGTTACATTTTAAAATGTGGTGCCTAGCGAGAAGTCACCCTTAATTTTTGGGAGCTGGACATCTCCTTAGTGACTTTTATTTTGATGGCAGCTGGTGGATGGGTCACAAGATTTTTCAGGACACCTGTATACTTCCTTGGAGCAGTGGCATGCCCTCACCAAGTGGTGGAAGGGCTAGGATGGGAGCTGACACTCTAGGTGTCCTCTTCCCTTCTGCGACTGGGCAGGATGGAGACTTCTACCACCTAGCAGGAGAGGAAACACCAAGTCCTTGGGCACCCTACCATGCTCTGCATGCACCTGGGGTCAGTCTTGTTTTGAGATACCTCAGGGACTTCAGGCTTCCCTGAAGAGGCAGGGTCTTCCTTTTCATTCTTCCCCACAAAAGAAAGAAGATATGGAAAGGTTTAACTTGGTGTCTTCATTTAACAACAGGTACGTTGACAGGGCCACAGCAGCGAGTAATAAACCTGGCTCCCACCTTTGGGCCACAGACCGAGGAGAAGATGCTGATTAACAAGCTGATTTAATTAAAAGCCATAATAAGGCTACTAGAGTCTAATATGCAGAGAAAAGAAAGCATTTAAACTTTATGGAGGCAGGGGCAAGAGTGGAGCTGGTCAGGGGAGGCATCTGGAGGACCTGAGTGATGAGGAGAGCTTCAGACAGCAGAGGCCAGAGCCTGCAGCAGGCCCTGCACCAGCCGGGTCTGCACAGCGCCAGGGGGAGGGTGTATCCCACAGGCCCTGCCATCCAGCAAGCCAGGGACTTGCTGCCTTCCACATGGGCTGAAGCTAGAAGTCCTGCATGGGCAGAGGTGAGAGTAGTGCCACATCCAGAGTGTGCTGCTATCCTGGTGTGACTTGCTGAAGGCTGCAGCCCTTGTGAACAAGACAGATTTCCTTCCCATGCAGAACAGAGACCTGTGTATCCTCTACTGCTGACTGAGACAAACTTCCTTCACCACTCAGCACTTCCCTCTGACATAGGGACTTATTTATGAGGTATAATCAAAGGCACAGTGACTGCTTAAATTTAAAGAATTTTATTATAGGAAAATAAACTGCTGTTAATCTCCTTCAAAGGCTCCCCTTTGCCTCCAACACGCTCATCCCATCATCCTTGCAATTTCTGTAGCAGCTCTAGACTCCTCTTTCCTGAATGTCTTTAATTGCATTGCTGTGGCTACCTCAATGTCCTGAATGGATTCAAAACATTTTCGTTTCATTGTTATTTTCATTTTGGGGAAGAACCAGAGTCATGTGGTGCCAAATCTGGTGAACGAAGTGGATGAGGACACACAACCATGATTCTGCAAGCCTGCCTCTTGGTTGAATCATACCTTGGAAAGACATTCAGGAAAGAAGACCTCCAGAACTGGTGCAGAAAGTGGCAAGAAGAATGGGATAAGTTGTCTGAAGCGAGGGAGAGGATTTTGAGGCAGATTAATGGCAGTGTAACTTTTGCTGTAATAAAATTTTCAAATTTTGACATTCATCTTAGTTTTGATTTTCTGTGTATGTTGCAAATCCCTGTAATGACCACACAGCATAGACTTCTAGGGTCTTTAGCTTAAATATTTGTTGCATAAGTCAAATACATTATTAATAAATGCATATATAATATCATTTCTGCAAGGGTTTTTATCCCTTCAATTTAAAAGATTCAGTCAATAAAATGTAACCACAGCAGGAGGCAGTGTAACACAGGCAATAGGCTGGGAGGCCAGAGAGCCTGGGTTTGGATTCAGGCTAATTTATCTGCTGAGTATTCTTGGGCAAGTTACCCAACTTCTCTGTGCCTATTTTTTCACTCATGAAATGGGGATAATGACATTTACATGTTCTTCTTAGGAGAGGAAGTATAAAGGAAATATGTGGAACACAGTAAGTGTCTAATAAATGTTAACTAATAGTGTTGTTTAGGGAAGGATGTTTTCATATATTCTCATACCAGATATAAAAGTCTTCTGTTACACAGTTTTTAATACTGATGCTATGAATCCTGATGAATCTTCTCCCTCAGTTTCTTGATGAAGAAGACAGTGTGATTTTCTATTCTTCTTTGAGGCCCCACACCCAGCATCAGAATAAGCACTCAACACATTCTTGCTGAAAAAATGGCCTGTGTCCTTGTTTATTTGGAATTTGGAAAATAGTCACTAAGTATGTAGATCATTTCTCCACTTCCTTTTCTAGTGCTTGGAAAAGAGAAAATTTTGCATTTCCTTGCATTTCTTTGCTCTCTGTACCTTATAGGCAAGCTTAATGGGTGCTTCCAGGCCAGTCTTCTTTGATGTTGTTGTGGTTTGGTGTTTTGCAAGGGGAGCAATAATACAATGTAGGGTATTTATTTTATAAGGTTATTTTATAGTAGTCACCCAAAGAATCTTATACAAAAAGAGTGCAGGAAATCCGTCCACACACTAAAGACCAAAGAATCCAGCTGAGGGCCTGGATCCCATGGTAATGTCCTGTATGAGTTCAGCTAAAGACCTACAGCCCATAACAGTGCTCCCCACAAGGGCAACTGGAGTCCAAGAGCCCATGACAATGTCTCATGCAGTCTTGTTTCGTGGATCTGCGCTGGGAAGACCCAAAGGTCAGTAGTGGAAGCTACAAAGTCTATGCCACATCTGTGCTAGCAAGCTGAGGGATCTGAACTGCAGCCATGAAATGACACTCAAAGTAAGAACCAGATCTCTCCCCAAAAAGTACCACAGCCATCCTCAGCAACAGTGAGGTCCTGAGCTTCTTTGATGATGAGGAAAGCTGAGTTCCCATCAGGAAAGGGAACACAACAAACTTCTCCAGGAGACTGAGCAGTGCACCATCTTCCCCCCCCAGAGCCAGGAAGTGATGCTAAAAGTGAGGACCAGAGCTCCCTGAAAGTGAACCATAGCCATTCTCAGTCACAGAGAGGTCTTGAGCTCCTCCTCTGAGGAGAACAGCCAAGTTCATCAGGAAAGCCAGCATGACAAGGTCCTCCAGGAGAATAGCTCAAGAAAACCAGCAGCTCCCAGCAGCTTCCCAAACAGCTTTTACCAGCTCCCAACAGCCTCTCCTCTTCTTCTACAGTTCTACCTCCAGTTCTGCCAGCAGTTATGCTGCTGGCAACAATCCTCAGGTGGGCCTCCTACACATAGCACCATGCTGGCTCAGTTCAGCTGGGTGTTACAAGTTGACCACCAGATGTCAATTCACCATAATGTGTTGAAAATTTGTCATGGAAATATATCATTACTAAGCTGCACTGGTCCCTGACCATTTCACCCAGTATGGGAAAGAAGAGCTTCTGATTATTTCAAGGAAAAATGTTCAAATTGCTCTGAATTAGAAATGGAGAGTTAAAAAGCCTTTAGAAGCTGTACATAGCAAAAGGTCAGGAATATGAACTTTAGTGTAGTGGATTGATAACTGGTGGTCAATTTGTAACCCCCGGCTGAACTGAGTGAGTGGTGCTGGGTGTGGGAGGCCCACCTGAGGACTGTTGCCAGCAGCATAAGAGGCAGACCTGGAGAAGAAGAAGCAGGCTGTTGGGAGCTGAGAGAGGCTATGGGGAGCTGGCTTTCCTGATGAACTTGGCTGTTTTCATCCTCCGAGGAGCTCGGGACCTCGCTGGCACTGAGAATGGCTTTGGTTCACTTTGGGGAGTTCTGGTCCTCACTTTGAGCATCGCTTCCTGGTTCCAGAGGGAAAGATGGTGCACTGCCAGCCTCCAGGAAAAGCTTGCTGCGTTGGCTTCCCTGATGGGAACTCGGCCATCCTGATCATCAGAGGTGCTCAGGACCTCACTGTTGCCGAGGATGGCTGTGGTACATTTTGGGGGAGCTCTGGTTCTTCTGAGCATCACTTCCTGGCTCCAGTGCAGATCCCTCAGCCTGCTAGCATAGGTCCTTCATCCTGCTGGCACAGACTTTTTAGATTCCACCACTGACCTTTGGGCCTTCGCCGTGCGGATCTGTGAAACAGACCTGCATGAGACATTGTCATGGGCTCTGGGCCTCCAGTTGGATTCATGGGACGCATTGTTATGAGCTCTGGGTATTCAGCTCAGCTCATGTAGTACATTGTCGTGGGATCCAGGTCCTCAGCTGGATTCCTTGGTCTTAGTGTGTGGACAGATTCCCTGCACTCTTTTGTATACTGTTCTTTGGGTGACTATTATAAATAATCATATGACATATGTGTCCTGTATTATATTGTTCTCCTTGCAAAATAAGCCCCAAACCAACACATTCAGTGTCAGACTGACCTGAATGTCAACCTTGGTTCTTCCCTTCACCAGCTGTAAGCTTTCAGATCAAATCTTTCCTTGGTAAAATTATAGCAATCTTCAGTAATCTGGTCAAATGAAATTTACTTATAAAAATACCTTATAGAGGGAAGATGCTCATTTCAGGGTATTATTTGATGTTGTGTTATGGTAAGACCTTAAACAAATCTAGTTTCCCTGGAGAAAATAAAATATTAACTGCAATATGTCAGGAATTTTCCTGGGCACTGGTCAGTGAACTTTTCTTTTGAGAATAAGATCTAGAATGTAGACTTTGTCCTGGTCCAGAGTATTTTTATTCTCTGTACTTTTCAAGGTCCATTAGGAGAAAAATACATGCTGGTCTACTTGGTTTTTTTTAAGGTTCCCTTTTCCTTCCCAATAGCTAACAGCATATTAAATGGTAATGGTTTACATATGTAAACACTGTTTGAAAGACCTGAGGCAGAGCTCTTTTTTTCTCCCTTCTAACACAGCAGGAAGGATAAATAATAACCATCTGTCTAGTCTGCCAGTTGAAGATTTATACTGGAGGCAATAAGCCAAGCTGGCTCTCGAGATTCCCAGGTGTGGGAAAGGCCAGGTTTTACAGGGCCTCCAGTGTGTTCTGGTAGCTAGGCAGCAGCCCTCCAGTCTGCCCCAACTAACAACTAAAATCTTTGGTCTTCAGCAATAGCTGCATGTTAGACCCAGTGAGAAGCTTTAAAAATGACCAACGTTTAGGTGTCAACAGGAAAATCACCCAAGGCCTCTGAAAAAGGGACAGCCACTTAGAACCCTGAACAGAGGAGAAACAAGGACCAAGATATGACAGTATCTGGGGAAAGCTTTAGAGAAAAAGTCAGAGCAAGGGGAGAGCCTGGGGCAGGGGTGCTTAGCACTTTCAACATGACCTGACAGTGGAGAGGAGAGGCCTGCGGAGGTAGAGCCTGACACCAAGACGAGGTGAGTGTCCTGAGTTGAGCCCTCACTACCAGGCCAAGGGACTGAGGTGCACTTCTCTTTGCTGGTTGTCCAGTGTTCACTGCTCCCCAGGAAAGCCCCCTTCACTCTTCCCTTTGGTGACAGCAGCCACCCTTTGCTTTGGGAGCACCTCTACCCCCGTCCATGCGCACTGTGATTTGGCAGCACTGACCTCCAATTCCAGCTCCAAGCTTGTTCTCTGATTAGCTTCAATATATCTGGGTAACCCAATCACAATCTTGGTTCAAAGATGGGCATTAAGCTCAACCTGAGCCTCTTGTAGGAGAGGAGACGCTTGTTACTCATGTTGTAAAATTCTCTTCTTGGCAAGACCTTGCACAGGAGTGCCATGTAGGTGTGATAATCACAACTACCTTAGCTGCTTTGCTGTTTTAGAAGGAAGGCCTGGACTAGTCAGATGTCACTCAAAGCCTGATGATGACGCCAGTGCCTGTAAAGTACAGCAGAGAGTCAGAACGAAAGCAGATTTTGATTTTGACATTTGAATGGCTAGATCAAACAGTGCCTATAGCCCTTGCTTTTGCCAGACTTTTCAACTAAACTAAACTCTGTTGTCTAAATCAACTGAGTTGGCTTTTCTGTCCTTTCAATATAAGCAATTCTAACTGGAAATTAATATGGATATTTTTCCTTCGTAAAAGACAGACCAACTCTTCACTACTTTTCTGTGTGTTCTATAGTGATAAAAATGTTTTGAACAGGATCAACAAGACTTTGAGGCTACTGTTCGTTCCCTCCAAATTTCTCCCTCTGCAGCCGTGGTGCAGCTTTCCCCCTTGCTTCCTGCCTCTCTTTCCTCCTTTCCCTCACTCACAGTCTCCACAATGAGGAGATTCCCATGGGGAACATTCTTTATTTCTGTAAAATACGACTTCAGACCTTAGATTGCACAAGGTTAGAGGGGCCCATGCTCACTGGTGTATGTCTTGGTGTGAGTTCAGAGTGTTTTTTGGATTTGTGGCTTTAAATCTTTTACCATTTTTTGAATTTCTCTTTAAATCCTTCAACTATTATTCCTCTTCTCTTCATTCATCCATCAGCAATTGCTTTTCTCTTCTTTTCCTCTATCCTTTTTTGACTTCTCTTCCTCTATCCTTATTCAACTTCATTTTTCTTCTATTTCTCTGTTCTTCTGTGACTCATTTCTCTTCTTCCACCCTTCTCAGACTTCATTATCCATATGTTAGATGTTGTCACCATCTCCTGTATGTTTCATATACTTTTTGGAGTATATTTCATCTTTATTTATCATCAGTACTTCAGTGTGGTATTTTCTACCGAACAATTCCCCATTCACTAATACTCTCTTCAACTATATCCAGTGTTTTGTTAAACCCACTATTGAGCTAAATCTAGTTTTTGTATTTTCTGTCTAGATATTCCATCTCATCACTTCTACAGACAGACTCAGATTCTTTGCTGAAATTTCTCTATTTTGTCATTCATTTTCTTGACTATATATGGGTAACAATTATTTTAAAAATCCATGTCCTTTTTATATCATTCCTGGTAATATTATATAGAACCTGGACATTTTATACGAAAATTCCAGAGATTTATATAATGTTATCTTCTTCCACAGAGAGCTTTTTTGTTTTGATTGGTAGGTTAATTTGAATTCCAAAAAAAGAATCAAACCCTTTCTTTTGTATTTTATTAGTCTTGTAGTCATTGTTGCCAAGGGGGTTAATCAATTGTGAACTAATTTATTCTTTTCATTAGTACAAATCAAAGTTATTATTTATGTAAAGACCATGTATACATTAAAAAACAAGTTCATAGATTTTTATGATTCCAAATGACATAAAATTTACAATAAGAGGAACACTACAGAAAATGAGTACTTTTTATCTGTTCATCAGCATCTTTGAGTCAAAAGGATCCCAGGAATGAGAAAACTCACAGTTCTACACAGTTATAGTGAGGAGCTTTCTTTATTTGCTATATAAGTCACCTGCTACTTTTCATACATTTGTCTGCAAAGCTATAGAACAGTCTAATGAAATGGCTCGGGCTCACTCAGTACTTAAGAACATTTAATCATCACAGACACAGCAGAAGACAAATGGGAAGAGACCAAAGCATTAACTCTTGGTAGGTATTAGCTGTCATATATTGTAAAAACAGCAAGACCCCAACAGCCCTATTGCTGTGGAGAGTGAAATATTAACACAAAATGGTGATATTTATTTCTCAGATTCACAGACATCCTGTGAGATCAACAGAACAGGTTTTTATTTCCTTTCTTCTTCCCCCTTTCTCTCTCTCTCTCCCCCTACTTTAGAGATAAAAAGTCAAGGGAAATAAAGTAAGTGATCCAATTTAAGATGATTATTTGCAAAGGAGAGACTTCAGTTTGTATTTTATGCATTTTTCTGAAGTGCTTGTGCTATGAACCAAATAGTGTCTCCCTAACCCTAATGCGTGGTACCTCAGGGTATGCTTTACTTGGAGATCAGAAATTTTAAAAGTAGTGATTAAGTTAAAATAAGGTTATTAGGGAGAGTCCCCATCCAATCTAACTCGTGTCCTTGCAAGAAGAGGAAATCTGGACACAGAGGCACCAGCGATGTAGGACACAGAAAGAAAGACATGTGAGGACACAGGAAGATTCTGTGCAGCCCTGGGGAAGGATGCAGCTATAGTTTCCCAGGACTCAGCATTAGTCCCAGGTGTAGCCTCAGAGGCTGGATGGGCAAAACTGGGGCTTTCCTTCAGCCACCCTAGCATTGTCCACATGGTGCTCTGTGCGACATCCAAGCACAGCCACTGTCTGAGAGGGCTGCGCTCCAAACCATGTGGCCCTCTGTGTGGCATCACCAGCTGTATGGCATCACTGTTCCATTCTTTTCCAGGGCTTGGCTTTTTCCTGGAGATCCTAGAGCCAGCTCTGCAGTGCACTGGCCCTAGATTCTGGTGAAGCTCAGCTTGTTTTGTGAAATGTGCCTTCTTTCACTGTAATAGTTGCTGTTTTCTACAGATGCTAAGGTCTGGATCATCCCACTATTGTGGACTGAATTGCGTCCCCCAGAAGGCATGTTTGAGTCCTTTCCTCTGTACTTAATGAATCTGCCCTTATTAGAAATAGTTTCTGCAGATGCAGTCAAGTTAAGATGAGATCATAGAGACAATTGGGCCCCAAACCCAATCACTGTGTCTTTGTAAAGGTGAGAAGAGGCAGGTTTTGATGCAGAGACACACAGGAGATGGAAGAAGTTCACACAGAGACTGCATAAACTGGAGGTATAGAGGAACAAGCAGGAGAGGTCTGGCTACTGGAAGTTGGAAGAGGCAAGCAAGGACTCGTTCTTAGAGCCCTCCAAGGGATGGGACCCACAAACACCTCAATTTCATCTCCTAGCCTTCAGAACCCTGACAGAAGAATTTTTGTTGTTTTAAACCACCAAGATTGTGGTAATTTGTTACAGAAGCCCTGGGAGGTGAATACTTTCTCCATTCCTTTTATTCCTTCAGCCTTTTAATACTACCACTCTTCTATAGTGAATTCCCTCCATTTGAAATACCTAGTAAGGTTTCTGTTTTTCATTTTGTACACAGACTGATTTACCCATCCCCAACTCACACATGCGTGCACACATTTTCAGTATGCTGTATTTTGATTTAGCAGGTAAATCAGTAAGTAGCTGATGGATATAGTAAAGAAACTACAAAAGCAGACTAATAACTTTATTTATCAGACATGTAAAACTTGCTAATTATCTGTGTTCAATTCATCATTAAATTTTGCTTAATTATATATCTTAGAAATATTCCTGTGGCAACCCAGTCGTGTTATTATGCTACTGCATAATTTTATCAATTGGTTGTACTGTAATTTAATTAAATGGCCCCTGAAGGATATTTTTATTGTTTCCATTTTTAAGAAATATTCACAAAAAATGCTGCATCAAGCACATACACATATACAGGTATATATATATATACACACACACACACATATGCATGTATACACATGTACACACATCTTGGATATTTTTTGATATGATATTGGTAGGCTAAATACCTAACTACAGGATTCTAGATTAAGGGACTGTGCAACTTCGATTTAATGAACAACATCAACATATTTAATAACTGTGCTGCATTCATCTTCAAGAGAATGCCCAGAATGGAAGAAAGGTTGCAGAATTGTGCCTTTTATGACCCAAATGGCCTAAAAGAATAGATCTAAGGCAAATCTCACTCCTTTTCTTCACAGTGGTCACACACATTTCTGTGGAGAATGAGATGAAACCCAACAAAGAAACTACTCTTGTTAAGCAACATAGTTAGCAATGGTGCTGGGAAATAGGAGATCTCTCAAGAGCAGTAAAATAAAGGCACTCCCTTGTGGGTAAGCCAGACAATAAGTCCAAAGAAGCTCTGCTCAGCAACTCAATGAATTTTGCCATCTGTATAGGAGAAGAAAGCACAATGTTGGTGACTAGTGCAGTTGCCCTGGAAAGGCACTGAGGGAAATTTTTGCTGGCTGGGATTTTGCTAGAGAGCTTTTCAGTGCCTGTATCATTCAGGTTCAATGCAGGAGAAACTGCTTAGTGTCTTCATTCAAAAGGACTTTGGTATAGGGCAATGATGGTGACCCTTTTAGAGATTGAGTGCTGAACTGCAACATAAAAAACCCATTATTATTCATTGCAAAGTCCCAACACTACAATTGAACCTGAGTACTGAGGTTTTAGTTTAGAAAAAACAACTATACATTAACATCTTTTGTCTTCAAAGGAAAATACAACAACACTCCTGCCATAGGTTTACCACCATTGATATAGGGAATTGGGTGCCTGCAAAGTTGCTGCAAGCTTAGTGGACTGGAGATTGGGGCCTCCAGCTAGGTTTAGGGCCATGGTTCAGCAGTTGTGGTCCAGAGACTAGGGAACTGCAGGAAAACCTGGCTTCTGTCTCAGTGTCCCCAAGCCTTGAAATTGGTGACCACACAGGATCAGGTGTGCCCTGGAAACCAGAAAAAGTAATATTGAGCAGTTTCTGAGGTTGCTATTGCTGCAGGAAAGTAAACAAATCCTTTAACTATCTCTGCCTCCCCACCATTCCACTCCTTCTTCTGCCTCTCCAGTTTGTGCAATTGCATTTCAATAATCAAAATGAAATCAATCCTAAAGCCTTTGTGCAAAGGGGCTTCAGAAATAGTCTTTTACCTTTCATAAGTACAGGAAGAATTATAACAGAAAAGAACATACAGGTAATAAAGGTGCTATACTCAGGCAATACTTAGTAAATTGCCCAAGAAGAAATTGCCCTGAGAAATTTGTCTGCAAGTGATATTCAGGTGACAGTCAGGTAGCTGTTTAAAAGTACCCAGCCAAGATTTAGGAACTGAAGTCGCTCACATTTGCTTGCCTGGCATGCTCCTCATTGGGACAGTAACCACCCCATTTCCTTCTGGGAACAGTGTGTTAGGACTGTACCAGGGTAGCCCATGTGCTACTCTAGCCAATGTTGGAGCCCACTTTCACTAATTAGTCTCTGTGTCTCACTGTATCTTCCCCTTCCTTTCTTGTCTTTTATTTTTTTGTCTCTGTTCCAGTCTGTCATTAACTTTTGGTTGTGGGTCTTCATAAAGCTCTGTTTTCCCTTAATTTTGTGAGTGATTTCATATAATTTAAAAATATTTCTTTTTGTTTTTATTAGCAAAAGACTATTTTTAGTGCTAGCAATTTGTTATGGTTTGTGTCTAGATGTCCCCCCAAAGCCTCATGTGGTCATAGGTGGGACTTTTTAGAGGTGGCTGGATCTAAGAGTTTGTGACATTGGGATTAAGGATAAGTGATTACTAAATTAGTCCCCTGATTGGCTAGACATATTTCTGAGTGTAGATAATAGGCCAACCCACCCTGGATGTTAGTGCTACCTGCCCTAATGGTATGTACCCTGGATATAATATAAGGGACAGAAAGAGGGCTGCTGTGATTTCTTGCTATTTGCTGCTTTCCTGGTTTGCTGCCTTCCTACCTTTTGCCTATCATGAACTGTTCTCCTCCTCAGTGCCCGTTTGCCATGCCACCCTGCCTTGGAGCCAGCCAGCTATGAACTGAAACCACTACAAACTGTGACTTAAATAAACTTTTCCTCTTTTAACTTTGGGTTTTGGTATTTTGTCTCAGCAACGAGAAAAGTAAATAAGACACAACTAAACTGCAACTGGCAGGAATTTTTATTTCTGCTTTAACCATCAGAAAAAGTCTAGAAAAAATAAAGAGCATATTATGAGATGTATGTCCTAATTTTTCTCAGAGTTCTAATGCTGTGTGATTTTATTCTCTTTAAATAAAAATGCTTTGTCAAATATATACCAGTTTGTTTTGTTTACACCTCTTACAACTTTTCCTGTAGTATATGACATCCTAGGAGGTCTGCAGTTGTCTACAGTTCAGTTGCTAAGAGCCAAGCTCCCAAAGCCAGAGAGCCTGCTTTTGACTTAACCTTATCAGTGAGCTCACTTATCAGTTGCACAGAGTTTTTAACCTCTCTGTACCTCAGTTTCCTCATTTGAAAATCACGACTACCATGAGGCATTAGCAAAAATTAAGAGTTAATGTTTACAAAGCATTTAGAAAATTAATTGGAATAAACAGTATATAAATGTTGGAAACTTTATTAGCATTATCATTATTGTTGTTATTATTGTTATTATTATTAATTGGGAAGAAAAGCCCAGGTCTGATTTCTAAGGTGCACCCATGGGTAGACCATTCCACATTTTTAATAGCTTTTTGCCTAGCACGTTTCCTATTCCCCTTAAAAAGTAATTGCTGAATCAGACACCTTGCAGGCTTTCTCTATCTCCAGAAATCCTCTGCCTGTTCCTGGGATTAGTAAACCCACCCTTCTCAGCCTAATTGCACTCCCAGATGCGCATGATAAGCCCTTCTCCTGGCTGTGTCAATTGCTCCCCTCTATTCACAGGGCTTTCAGGGTAGATTCATTATTTATTCTCCTCCTCGACACAATATGGTCAGTCTGCTGTGTTTTAAACTGGTTGGGAGCATTTCACTTGCCAATATAATTTTAGAATATTAGTTTGCCTCCTGTTCTTTCACTGACCTCCTTAATTTCCACATATTACACTCACACAAAAACATTAAATGTGAATTCTGACTTACATGTTTCCAGCCAAGAACAGGGATAATAATTTCCAACTAACACAATCTGAACTCGTTTTACATTAGGGTGATTCAGAGTAGAGATTTGAAATTGTAATCAAGTCTTTCTCAAAATCGCCTTACCCTGGCAGTCATTCACTAATGTCTCTGCTAATTGGTAGGCAAATTGCAAAAAACAAAATCGCGATGTTAAAAATAAAAACTGTTACAAGGCTTACAAAATTGCTCCTCTTGTCAGCTCTTAAAACCTGACAGTTTCAGAAGGGAACACAACTCATTTTGTTTGTTTAGATGAGGCTAATCCCGCATCACTATAATCCTTCCTGATGTTTTATTGATTCTGAAGGACATTTAATCAGGAAGCATCTCAGCACTAGAATCCTGCTAATTAGCAAGCAGCCACATTCCAAATGGGTTCCCAGTTGAACAGTGGATTAATGGACAATATGCACTAAAATAACGATTTGTGCATTCGGCTCCTAAAATGTGTGTCTAAATTGCATCTTTAATCTCGTAAGGAGGGAGGTTTGCATACAAAGTCCTTAACGGAATGACTTTAATTCAACAGAAGAAGATTTAGCCAATGACTGTTTAAGGCAAAACAGGTTTATCTCTTATAAATTCAATTCTTCTTTGGTTCCCATGGTTTTGACATCCTTGAATATTGGAAAGTGAATAAAAATCTGTGTGTTTCTCTGGGTTGCATAAAACAGTGGAAACTTGAAAATATTGATAAAATTATAAATAATTTCCCCTTATTTGCTTCATGTTCTCTCTTGGTCTCATATTCTTGATTCCTGTTTTTCTGAATACAACTTCTAATCAAATATTTCCTGGCCCTCTACTAGGTACCAGGTGTAATGCTTGCGCATTTTCTCTTTAGACTGGAGCCCTTTTGGGAGTCTCCTTTATGGTCCTTTGATTTTCTAGTCAGTTCCTAGCTTACAGTCTACTTTTAAAGTTTGACCATCTTTCTCACTTTCACCCAAACACCCCAAGATTTTAAAGATGGGGCACTTCCATGTCCAAAGCTAGGCCAGTGGAAAGCCACTGGTTAGGCTTGAAGTCCTGACCTCATTACTCATTTGTTTATGGGTTGAAGCTTCCCATAGTCTTCATGTCACTTTATTTTTGTGTATTGTTCTTATAATCATGTTATAGGCCACATATTCTAATTTATTCTCTTTCCCACTACAATATACACTTCACGAAGGATGGAGTTTTATTTTATTTGTATCAATATTCCCAGTGTCTACAGTAGTCCTTGATAGAAGCAGGCATTTGATAAACGTTCTCTTAAATGAATAAATGCATGAATTCATCAGATCTTTACTGTGTGCCTATCACATGCAAGTAGTTGGTTACATGTTGGAACTATAATGAGAGGAAAATAGTCAAATTCCTTGCCCACATGGAGATCTTTTTTTTTTTTTTCCTTTTTCCCTTTTGGTACCAGGAATTGAACTCACGGTCTCATGCTTTCCAGGCTGGCACTGCACCACTGAGCTACATCCCCAGCCCCCATATGGAGATCTTTAGGTGGATGTTTGTTCATTTTGTTTTTGTTTTTCTTCTGGTACTGGGAATAGAACTCACGACCTTGCACTTGCCAGGCAGGTGCTGTGCCGCTGACCTAAATCCCCAGACCCTAGGTGGATGCTAAATCAAGACATTCTGTACCTAAATACATAGTTACACATAGTGACAAGGAAATAAAGTCCCTTGCCTGCTGAGCAGGGCTACAGTTGGTTGGAGAGCATCATAGTGACAATAGACATGATTAATCAGCAGACTGCCTAATCAATTAGAAGATGAGAGGTATGCGTGAGAAAACGAAAGGACAGCAGGTTAAAGGGAAGAAGAAGTGGGGAATGCACCAGTGAATAGTGGCATTACTGTAAGCAGCACTGAGACATGAGCAGAGTCTGGAAGAAGGAGAAGAATTTGGTATGAGAGTATCTGGGAAAGAACATCTCAGGTGAAGAGAATGTGAAGGTGAATGTCTGCCTGCTGCTTGAGGTGACAAGGTATAGTGTACCTGGAACAGAATGGGTGACAAGTTCCAGATAGAACCAGAAAATGCTGGGGATCGGGGATCCCGTGGAAGTCTTTGGAGGCCACTGCTCTTCCACCCCTAGCTCTAGATGAGGCACACAGGGGCTCCTGTAGGGTTTGGAGCAGAATACTGGTGCTCACAGTTTTAGTTTTAGATTACCTGTCTGTCCTGATTTGAGGGTAGACTAGGGACAGTACAGAAGCAGAGTTCACTTAGG